CTGTCTCCCTCTGGGTCCCTCCTTGGTGGCCAGGTGAGGGACTTGGGTGTCTCCTCTCCTCCCAGCAAGCGAAGCCAAAGCCGCCCAGCAAGCCTCTCCCAGCACTGAAGAGCAAGGCGCTGTGCCATGTCAAGGGGCCACGAGGACCAGCCCTCCCGCGTTCCCAGCTGACAGCCCCCTTGGTATTTCAGCAGGGCATCCCCTCAAAGGTGGCCCTGAAGCCACCCCCGGCCAGGAGGTGACCAAGGATGCTCCATTCACCACTGCAGCTGGAGTTGCTGGCTCTGGCGCTTGGGTGGCACAGCTGGGGAGCTGCCATCTCGCTTCCACCCTTACTTGAATCACTCGCCGTACCCTCCCTTGGCAGGGCACCAGTGTTTACAGATATTTGAATTGTGCCTTAATAGACTTCATAGCCTCACAGCTGGCCCAGGGAGAGCTGTCAGCTGGGGCTTCATGAGGAGACCAGCAGTGGGGACAATGCTAGCTCTGGTTTTGGGGCCAGCCCCAAGTTGGTCCAGGCTCTCCTGCATCCCTGGGAGCTGCTAACTTCTCTCCCGACAACCTGAATGTGTCCTGCTCCTCCTGCCCCCTTCCCTGCTGGGGCCACGGCAAGGAGCTCCTGGCATCACCCACCGGGCTCACTGGGGCAGGAGGAGGGCTGCACCATGGGGACCACATCCCAGGGCCACCACCCCATCTAGGGACAGTTGCATGGGGGGTCTCACTGGGCTTTGGCAGGTCCAAGCTGTGTTTGGCTTCCCCACAGGGCTTTAATCTCTGAAGTTATGACTTTAGTTACTGTTCTCCTGAAAGGGAGTTTCCTGGGAGCCTTTTTACTGCAGCTATTAACTTATGACCCTTATGTGACCATTTTGAGCCATCTGCTGTGAAACCAGGCCTCCCCCTTTTTGATATAATTTAGGTTGAAGGCTTTTATACTAATAAAGATTGAAGGTAGTAGTGTCATAAGGTGTCTCTTGGCAGAAGGGTGGCAGCATGCAGGGAGCTACCTGAGGCTCAGGGTGGATCTGGCATGGGTGGAGCCAGCGGGGAGAAGGGCTTGAACCGACTTCCCAAATCCTGTGCCATAGCCATGGGGGCCAAATGGTACTGCTTCCTGCCAGCCGCACAGAGCCAGGCTGTCACAGCGGCTGCAGGATGCTGCAGTGAGTCCCCATGAACCCCAGCACCAGCTGCCAAGACAGGCCCCGGGCTCACTCTGACCGAAGCCTGGCCACCCTGATTCCCAGCACCAGCTCAGCTCCCATCGCCCTGATCCAAGACAAGCGTTCATGCTTGCAGGCCACATCGGTGCTCAGGGACCGGCCTACCAGCCCCAAGGACACCACTCGCACACAGTGGCCCTGGCTGCTTGGGAAACGCTCCTGCACTGGCCACATGCAAGCAACAGGGCAGCTCAGGTAGGGGCCCAAAGGCCAGCAGGGCTTGGCTCCCACCACGACCTTTGGAAGATGACAAAAACAGAGCAGGACCCTAAGTGCCTCTCCTGCTCAGCTCCACCACCCTGCAGTTTTCTTTGAGCCCAGGCTGCCCCCAGGGCTCTCAGGGCAGCAGTCACTGCAGCTGGGAACATGGAACTACACAGTGCTAAGTGTGAGATGAGAGGCATGGGTGTGGCCCCTCCAGAGCCACAGTAACACCAGCCCAAGGAGACATGAAGCCACCAAGGAAATGGTAACAAAATAATTTTATTCTGCTTTATCAAAAGAACTTAACACTGTGCATGTAAACTTGAACATATGTATCGTGTTTCCTCAAAGAAGGTGTGGACCCAGTGGCAGACAGATCCCTTTAGTCACAGGACCACACAAGCCTTTTGAACAGAGAAAAACCAGTTCAATCCCACATTCCTGGTCAGGCCCATGTTTCTGCTCCACAGCTTCCAGCTCAGAGAGAAGCAAAGCCCAGACTGGGATGTTAAAGCCATGGTGATTCCCTCCTCTTGCACACCTACTCAGGCTTCTGCAGCAGTGGCCGGGGAAGCAGAGTGGGATGGAGGAGGCTTTTGCAAAGGCACTGAGCATCATGCACATGTTGCTGCACGACTCCAAACAGGAGAAGCATCCTGTGATGTCCCTCAGACCACACTGGTAGGAGGTGGCGGACATATACCCAACCAGAGCAGGATGACATTTAGCCAGAGTGACAGCCACTAATGGCAAAGCCATGCATCCACCTGGACAGCTGCAGGGAGGCCCAGCAAGGTTCAGATCCAAAGGGAAGCAGCCCTCCCTGCCCTGGCCTGGAAGGCTTTCCCACCCGCCACACAGGGATCTTGCTCTGATCACTGCAGGAGAGCTGTGAGCTGCTTGGTTATTGCTTCTTGTGGTTCCCCTCGTGCCCTTGCTTCTTGTCATCTCCAGGCTGGCAGAACCTACCCTGCCCACCCAGCTTGATGCCCAGGGTTTGATGCCAGCACTGGGTAGTGCCCAACCCCAGTGAGTACCACATGGAGACAAGTCTACATCTCCTCCAGGAGTGCTTCTGTTCTAAAAAGCCTGCGTTCATCTCAAAATTCAACCAAAGTGGCTGCTGCAAGCCAGCAACACTGAGGAGGTAGAGGGTCAAAGATGTGACTCCACTGGCTCCTCAAAGCCCTTACCACAAGAGAAACAGGACCTTGCGAGTCAAACAGCACTTCCAGGAGACATTTCAAACACCACAGCTAAGAAATACACTGCCATCCCCTCTCTGCCCTGGTACCGTCACCCTGGGGAGGGCACTGCAGGGTCTAACAGGGCTAATGCTGTGCCTGCCCATCTCTCTCCTGCCATCAGCCATGGGTTTCAGCTCTGTCCTGCCTACTGGCTCAGCATGACATGCACACATCCTTCCTGCTTCCCTGCCCAGCAGCGTCCTTTGAAAGCACCAGGAGGGCACTGTTTGCCCAAGGCTTCAGCAGGGGAAGACATGAGCGTCCCCCGCCCCATGCAAAAACTCGGCTTAGTGCTCACCAACTGGGCCTTGCGAGTTTGCAGACAGATGGAGGAAAGAAAGCTCACCTGAAACTACTGCTAAGTCCCACAGTCATGTATTCCCCAAGCTGGCCAGCAACAAGAGAGGCACAGCCAATGCATCCCTGCCCTGCCCCAGAGATGGAGGAGAGGCAGCCAGGGCAGGAGCTAGCATAAGGCACTGTATGTTACCAAACTTCCTTGAGGAGACACACAGCTATCCTCCAAATCAAGCCACACATGATAGTAAAACAGCACTGGAAAGCCTGAAGCCCACACACCTCATTTGTGGAAATCATTAGCAGAGGCGAAGTTCAGGCCGTTCGTTTTGGGTTGAATGTTTCACCAAGGTAAAAGCTAAGCATGTTCTTCCCCTTGCCATGAGGCTGCAGATGGTGCCAGGGACAGATCTCAAAGCCAGCACCAACAGGCCCGTCACCACCAGCCAGCCAAGAGCCAAGAGTGTCACCACCAACCGGCCCGTCTGGTGGACTGTGTCAGGGCCAAGTGCTGCATGTGGCTGCACCCCAAGGGCCAGGAAATCAGGATGAATGTACAGATATCCCAGGCTGGCGGAGTAGAGATGGTCTCTGAACTTGTGGTGGGTTCAAAGGCAGGCAATGCTGCAGTGCTACCAGCTCTGCAATGGCGTTCCAGCTCGAGCTCTTGCCAGTTGCTTCCCCAGCCATTGTCTTCTGGGATCGTTGCAGAACACAATGAGAAACAGGTCCTAGAAATAAGCACGTCCTCTCAGGCGAAGGGGAGGACAGAGGAAAGAGGAAAGCAGATCATACCAGCAGAATTCCCCCCAAGCACAGCTTTCTCTCACCCTGCAGTGGCACGTGGGGAGCAGGAGTTGGATATATCATAATGCACACCACGAGGGAAGATCATCCTGCCAGCACTGCTGATGAGTGAAAAGCCCTGCAACGCATCAAAGCTGGACCAGCGATGAGAGGACCAGCAACAGACTTCCCACCATGGCCGTTCAAGGACACAAGAGGCAGATCCCACTTCTTGGAGCTGTGGATTTTGGGGAGCAGTGATGCCTCACCTACTTTGCAACTGAGGTGTCAAAGATCTGATCTGCTGCAGAGTGGGGTCCCTTCATTCTTCTCTTCCCCTTCACTTCGCTAGCAAGGCAGAGCAGCGGAAATCCAGCCCCCTTTCCCTGGTGAAAAGACCTACAGAGAGGCTGGGGTCTGTGCAAAGACTCCCCAGCTCTGTTCCAAATCAGCTGCTCAGAGGTGCTCCATGCACTCTGAAATCTGGTTTAGGTTGCAAAGTTAGACCCAGTCATCTAGCTGAAAGGTACTACAGTCAGTCACAGGCAGCCAGCACGAGGGTCTTGCTTGGAGACAGGGAGTTATAGAAGCCCATTAGAGATTGCTTGTTCTGAGTCGTTATCTAGTGCCACTGCCAACAGGAAAGAAGATTTTGGCTATGCAGATCCCATTCAAATAACCTGTTCCACATCAAACCACTCCCTGCCAGGCCTCGCCCTGAACAGGAACACTCAGCCTCTGCTGGCCAAGGAGAGCCCACTCCACTAGAGTCCTTGAGGAGAGTTAGATAGCACCAGTAGAAACCTGCTCGGAGTCCACAAAGCAAAGCTTCATCGGCAAGACGAAGGAAACCTCTTCGCTCAGCCTCAGCGAGGAGCACTGGGGAACGACCAGTGTGCAGCAACATAGCACTCAAAGCGACATCTCCTACCTCCAGAGCGATACTTGCTAAATAATTGCATCTACTGCAGAAGGCTTTCCTGGTGTCTGTCTTTTAATATTCCAGTATAGGTATGTTAGTACAGGATTACCCCTCATTTGGAAGCACCAATTTAATAGAGGAAGAAACGGAAGAGGCAGAGCACTTGCAATGTGTTGCTAGGAGAAAATCAACCCAACTGCCACCTATACACAAGATGTCCACGCATGCGCTGCATCTGCCCCACCAGCACAGGGCAACATCCCCATTCACAGCTGGGCTAGCTGTTGAGCTATACCGGGTGTATTTCTACCTCTGTCAGCCAGTGCTTTCCTTTGCTCTGAGGTGGCTTTCTCCAGAGGTCTCCGGGGCCTCCTGAGAAGGAAGGCTGGTTTCTTGGGCAGTCCTCAGATTGGCTTGCTGGAAGGCACAGGAATCCAGAAACATGTTGGGGATGCGGTCACCAAAATAGAGCTTGCTGTTTGCAGCTATCGCTTGATATTTCATTAGTTCCAGATACTCGGGGGTAAGTTTCAGCTACAAAAAGAGAAACCACACACTGTAAGAGACAACCTTCTGGGCCTCGCATCACTAGGTTTCATCTCGGGCACCTGCTTCCTGGGATGTGGGCTATTAAATCAAGTGTTTTTCCAGTGCTGCCCACCTGAACCTAATCTCCTGTACAGAGGAAAGGAGTAAGCAAGTCCTCTTCTGACCAGCTTTCCAGTGCTCACCTTGTTGGAATCGGACAGCTTCCGAGCAGTGTAGTACTCCGCATCAGCTTTTGCTTTCTCTCTTGCCAGGAACGCAGCGTCTAACGCAACAGAAGACAGACAGGAAAAGAAGCATTAGTAAGTGAGCAGCCCCACCACACAGAGCACCTGAGCCTTTCTCCCACGGGGAGGAGCTGACCCAGGTGGGCTGGTGACAGCCTGGCTGGCCATGTACCTGCGCTGCTGGCTTCTTGGAGAGGTACATGCAAAGGGGAGGAATGATCCCGGTGTGTAACCTTGTGACACTACGCTCTTTATTATTTTCGCAGGATGGCGATGCCTACCAGCCCAGTTCTGAGGTTCCTCTACCTGCCACCACCCTTAGCTGAAAAATTACCCCAGAAGCACAGTTACCTTCAATCTCAGAAATGCGCTTCTCTGTTTCCTTCTCCATAATCTTCTGTTGGTAGTGAATCCTGGCCACCTGAGCAGCCTTCTCTGCCTCTGCAATCACAACAGGCTCATCTCAGACATTCATTTCTCAGGGCTTCAGCATCAGCATCCCGACCCCAGCACCTGGCTGCAGAATCTGCCAGACAAGTAGTTTGCTCTCTGCTGCCTCCCTTTCTGCTCAGATCCTACAGTGCCAGTTTGTACTCCAAGCAATACAGTTACAGAAAGAAAACACAGTGCTGATGCTTCTGGAGTTGCACTGTCTGACATCCCTTTTACAAGGGTGAGCCTCCCTGGCACAGGCACATTTAGCTTCAAGCCCAAGTTGTTTTTCTGCCAGAGCTGTTACCTGCTGTAGCATGAGCCCTGCAGTAGGACAGAGGTGTTTGCTGCTCTGCTGCTATGGGGAGAGAGGTGGGATGTAGATACAGCAGCACAAACACCCATATTTTCTAAATGACCTGGCTGGTGCAGCCTGGCTGTGGATCCTTCAGGGAGTTATCAGCAACAGAAGACAACATCCTACCCCAGCTTACTGGGGATGTAAGAATGGAAATGCAGTCTGGCCTCTCTCTGATAGTACTCCCGACTGGTGACATACCAATGAGTGCTTTCTTCCGGTCTGTCTCTGCCTCCTTCTCGACTACCTTCTGCTTCTGGGCTGCAATCAACAGCTTGGTCTTCTCAGCCTCCCTGCAGGGTGAGAAACATTATCACAGGGAAATGGAGCTGGGGAGCAGCTCTGACAACCAGGGCAGGAGGGGCGAGGGAACAAGAAGCTGACCAGCTGCCACCATCATGTTCTCACAGCCACGAGGACTTGTTCTGTCTTCAGCTGTATGAGTTCGTGCCTAGCCAGCACGTCAAAGGAAGGAATTGTTCCCCCTCTCTGTTTGGCACTGGTGAGGCCACATCTGGATGTCAGATACAGTCTGAGGCCCTCAGGACAAGGAGTGAGTCCAGTGCAGGGCTCCAGTGGGGTGGAGGCCAGGGCATATCAGGAGAGGCTGGGCAGAGTTGGGCTTGCTCAGCCAGAGATGAGGAGGCAAAGGGGGACCCAACAGCATCTCCCGCTGCTCAGAGGGGTCTCGAAGGTACTGAGGCCGGGCTCTGCTCAGAGGGGCACAGCGAGAGCCCCAGAGGCACCAGCACAAGATGCAGTGCGGGAAACCCCAGCTGGCCCCAAGGAAACAGTCCTTCCCCATGCGAGCAGAGTGTACCAGGGACAGGATCCAGAGTAGTGGGGGATCCCTGTCCCCAGGGATGCCCTGACTTGCCCAGACACAGCCCCCAGCGCCCTGCTGCAGCTGAGGCATTTGCTCTGCTTTGGGAAAGAGCTTGGACAGGAGATCTCCATGGGTATGTTATCAGACTAAAACCCATCTGCAATTCTGTGAGTTTGCTGGAGGGGAGCTTATGGATGAGACATCAAGACCCCTGAGCCCTGAATTCAGTTTACAAGTCTTCTACAGGTTCTCTATAGCACATCAGCATCCCCTCTACATAAAGCAGCAGGAACATAGCCTTGATATGGACTCTGTACAGGCTCACAGCCATCTTTGTGAAGGGCCGAAAGGCTTCAAGGTGAAAGAGCTATGGAAATGGAGAAAGAGAACGCACAAGTGCGCCTAGCCAAGCACACACTGACTACAGCCCACCTCTCACCTTCTGAGCACCAGGTAAGAGCCTTCTAATAGCATTATGCCTGTGCTGGACCCTCAAAAGCAATTCATACAATTTTATGTACAGCTACTCACATTAGCTCAAAATTTCTTCGGATGGTTTCTGGGATTTTGGGTTTTGTAACACGCACAGCCTACGGGAAAAAAAAAAAGGGAATGCATTTTAAATTAAACATCTTGATGTGAGCAGCATAACTAAGAAACACCTTTGCAAAAGAGCTGTAGTGCTCTGGACATCTCCACATTGATCCAAGACCACACATAATGGTTTCCAGTCCTCTTGTACAACACAGCTGAGCACAGCCACTCTCACAGAGGTGCCTTGCATTTGTATTTCCTGCCTTTGCACCTTTTATGGCACCTAAGGGATCAAGGCCTGTGGAGTAGACTGCTAAAGAGGTCCACCACCTTTGTTACAAGAAGCTTAGTTCTCCACCTCAAAGACTCTTCAAACATCACCAGACAACACCTCCCAAAGCACTGCTCCAGAAAGGGGCTCACAAACTCAAGGAAATTAAATTGCAGGAGCGAGACGTGCAAAACAGAGGCAGGGCTAAGAGCTCAGGAATGGATTTTCCAGGAGAAAAGCTTGCAAAAGCAACCACACAATGAGAGACAAAGCAGTGAAGACAAGGGAGAGCAGCAGGGCCCAGGTGTCAGCTATTGTTTGCAACTGCAGATCATCAAGAGTGACGTGCACAGCAATGCTGACACCACAACTCAGGTACCTGCCAGAGACAGCTGCTAAGCTGCTCTGCATAAGACTCTGAAATATGGGGGGAAAACCTCCAGAGGCAGGCCCAGGAGCTGCTGCTGCTGCTCAGTTGATATGTGTGGCTCATTATTGAGCTTTGGGAGATGTAGACTGACAGTCCACAGCTTACAATTGCTTTACAGTTCTCCTGCTTCATCTTCACTGTAGATTTAGTGCTGAACCTGCTGCTTCTCTCTGGGGTCAGTAAGTCTGCAAAGAACCGAGGGGCTTCCACAGAGAGGAAGGGGATATGGACATGTCCAGGCAAGTCTTTGTATGCAGTGGGAAAAAAAGAGAACCATTTCTGTATGACAGGCACCCTGGCCCCAGCAAACATCATGCCTGGGGAGAAGGAGCCAGCCTGTCACTAAAGCAGGACACTCCGGATTCAAAGAATGGTTTGGGTTGGAAGAGACCTTCCAAGATCATCCAGTCGAACCCCCTCTCGCCATTGGTAGGTTGCTGAAAGCCCTGTCCAACCTGGCCTTGAACACTTCCAGTGATGGGGCATCCACAACTTCTCTGGGCAACGTGTTCCAGCATCTCACCACCCTTCTAGTACGACATTTCTTCCTTATATCCAACCTAAACCTACCCTCTTTCAATTTAAGACCATTGTTGTCTGTCCTGTCACTACAGGCCCTGGTAAAAAGTCTTTCTCCACCTTTTTCGTAAGCCCTCTTTGTATATTGAAAGGCCACAATAAGGTCTTCCCACAGTCTTCTCTTCTCCAGGCTGAACAACCCCAACTGTGCTGCTTCTCTGAAGAGGCAAAGAAAGCAGATTTACGGGACATCAGATCAGAATATCCTTCAGTGAAAGGTTTTTTCTAAGCTCCTACCAGAAGCAATGCCTCTCCAAGTCCCTAGAAAGGTACCACATCCAGAAAGCTCACCTCATCAGCCACTGCAGGGTGTGCAGGGGAATATTCTTTCTACCTCCATAATACCCCCTGCACTAAAACAAAGACAGGTTTCCAGAAGTGTGGCTTTTCCAGCATGGGTGGAGATTCCTCTACAATCAGGAAAGCCGCCAGGTCTTTCAAAATCTCCACTGTTTCTTTTTCAAGCCAACAGCTCAATCTATTTAATGGTGAAATCTGCTTAAATCTACTAGATGGAAGCACCACTATGCACTGTCAATACTGCCAATAATCAAACGTTAAGGCATTGGGACATGCTGGGACTAACTGGCTGAGCAACAGCTTTGCGAAAAAGGAGCATGACGGAATCAAAAGACAAGCTGACTGTATGACAGTGTCTTTTCCCTGTGGCCATGAAGTCCAGCCCCATCCTGAGCTGCACTGGCAAATGCTCAGCAGCAGGTTGAATGCAATTTCTATGCCCCTCTACTTAGATACTGCATCCAGCATGGGGAACCCACTATAAGGAATACCAACAAACTAGAGTGCATCTGAAAGCCACTGAGGTGGCAATGTAAATGTTGCAGAGAATAGGAATAGGCTGACAGTACTGTACTTTTCTCCTGTTGATCCTTCTTCCTAAATATGGGTGTGACATTTGCCCATTTCCAGTTATTAGGGACCTCCCTTGACCACTGCCACCTTTCAAAGATAAAAGAGAGTGGCTTCACGATGGCACAGGCCAGCAACTCAGCACCCTGGTTCCACAAACTTGTGTGTGCCCATCTGCTCAGTTGTCCTCTACTGTGGGTAGTACTTCACCTCTGCAGACCCTGCTGCTAGGGTAAAGAACGGGGAGGCCCAAGGGCAGGCCTTGCCAGAAAGAAGTCCAAGAAGGTGTTAAGTACTTCAGCCTTTTCCATGTTGTTGTTTGCTGTGTCCCTTGCTCCACAGCTTCCTTGGCCTTCCTTTTGCCATCATTAGGTCCAAGTCTAGCTGTAGTTTTCCTAACTGTCCCTGTGCTCTCAGTTTAACCAGCTTTATTTCTCCCTGCTCATCTACCCCTACTCCACCTTTTGTGAGTTTCCTTTTTGCCTTCCAGCTCAGTCGTGAGCTCCTTGTTCATCCACACCAGACTCGTGTCTCACCTGCTTGACTTTCCACACTTTGGGGTGTACCTGGCAACGAAGCAGGGTCTCCTGGCTCCTCCTGTGGTCTCCCACAGGACCCTGCCAAGCACATCTCACACAAACCGAGTTCTGTCTTCCTTAAGCCCAGGCCCATCATTCTCCTGTTCACCTTGCTCCTCTGAGGACCTCGAACTCACCACCTTACAGCTGCTACAGCTCACACTGCTTCCAGATTTTACCTCTTAATCAGCTATTCCATGTTTCTAAAAGATCCAGCAGACCACTTTCCCCAGTCAGCTTTGCTCACCAGTGCCAAGACTGGTGTTCAACACCCTTCAGAACATCCAGCATGGCTTGCACCCAGCCCTATTGCCCTTTCAGTGGACACTGAGGTGGTCAGAGATCTCCGTAAGTACCAGGGTCTGTGATCACGAGGCTTCCCCTGGTCTTCTACAGGCAGCTTTGCCTGCTTCATCTTACTAACGGAGTGGTCTGCAGCAGACAAGGACCATGTGGTCCTCCATGTTGGTCTAATTCTTACCCATACCGGCTCTTATCTCAGCTGTTCATCACCCACCCCAAAGCAAAGCTCCCATGATTTGAGCCAGTCCTGTGCAGACAGTGCAACTCTGCTGCCTCACCTTCTTAGCCTGTCCTCCCTAGAGCCTGTACCCACCCACAACAGTACTGCCCTCACATGAGCTATCCCACCAGGTCCCGGGACTGCAAATGCACAGGGATAGTGCAGGAGCCTCCCCTATGATGCTGTCCATAGACACTTCTTACCATCCACTGGCCTCCATTTCTCTTCAGGCTGTGGTCACCATTCCAGTTACAAAAGGAAGTTTTGCATCAGGCAACCTGGAGGACTTGTGAAGGTTTCATATACGCTGAATAGTTTTAATAAACCTAGAAATAAATGCTGGTAATTTCCTTTAACAGTATCTTTTCAATAATAGTTGTCCATGGCACTTCTTTCAAAAATGAATTGTCAGTGATCTTTGAAGTACTCATGTATGCAAACATGCTCTTCAAAAGGAAAGCACTATGCCCAAATACAGAATTATTTCCCTTAGAGCTCACAAAACAATTCAATTCTAGGTACAGTTAAGTTAATCTGGGTTATACAGCTGCATGTGGAGAGTTTTAAAGAAAGCTCAGCTCTTCACTGCAATTTCCTGACAAGAGACACAGCAACATGGCAGAGTTATATGCTGAGGCAGCATTTTACTCAGTTCTGTTGTGAAAGCAAACAGTAGGAACACAAGGGCAGGATCACACTGTCTCTTAAGTACTAGAGATGAACCACTTTCCTCACTAGTTATTGGACCTCTTCAAACTGGTGGTCCGGTGAGCTCAGGCTGGGCTGATGCAGGCAGGATATCCTTTACTTCAGACCAATAGTGGAGATTGGGCATGCCAAATTGAGATAGGATAGCGTTCGCTGAAGATCAGATTTAGTTCTGTAGTTAACATCTCCCAACAATGAGCCATGAGCTTTGCTTATGCCCTTCCACACCCTGAGATCAAAAAGGGCCTTTACATTACGATTATCATTTTGATCGGTGATGAACTTCTGTACAAAATCTCTCTGCAATGTACAGTGCAAGTTAAACTGGATATTTGGAAGAGGAGAGCCATCTCAACTTCTTTGTGATAAGACACTACCTGTGGTTTGCCCTCTTCAAAACAGAGCAAGCCTATGCGCAAAGGAGCCACAATACAGAACAGTATTTATCATAGCATTACATGTGCTGTCAATGGGAGGCTCTCCCTCCCTGCACGCAGACAGCCTGCCTAGCTAAATGTGGCAACAAGAATGGCAAAACAGATTTGGTCTCGCTCTTCCCTTCAGTGGAAATCTCCAGAGATTTCCACCTCAGCCCTTGAGAGCCCAAGGTATTTTTCCCAGTTGGTTGCCCTGTACTTCAACATGCCAAAAAATCAGTATGTCAGACAGCCTAGCTAAGATTAAACACGATTTTTCTAACACCAAGCGTAAGCAGAAGTGTAAGCAGAAAATCACTTAGGATACAGCATCTCTATCTCTGGCACAAGTGCAAAAAAGATGAAGATCTCTTTTCTTCTTCAATTAGGAACCGTAGGAATTGTACCAGCACACTGGAGCACCCAGCTCTGCAGGGGTGCCAAAGGCAGTTTAAAGAAAAACATTTTCCTGCTTTTTGCAAATTAAATCCAATGCCTGCAGGTCTGTGGCCTAAAAGGTCCTTTTCTCTATCCCGCAGGTCTTCCCCCAAAATCAAATCACCATTTAGAAGTGGTCACTGTCATTTGGACAATTCAGCTGACAAACCTCAACTCAAGGCTCAACTACTTTGTTATGCGGAAAACGGAAACAAGAAACTTCATCAATTTAGTGAAAGGTGAGCAAATCAGAGATGGAAAAAAGAATAATCTTTGTTAGGGAATCAGCCTACCTGGATAGTGAGACCTGGTGCCATGACATTGAGATCCTTCTGCAGGGCCAGCTTCAGGTTCTCATCTATCTGATCTGTGTTTGGAGGACAAGAGAGAGAGCACTTAGCTTATCATGTTTTACAGCTAGTGTGGCAGAGTCAGCTGGCCTTGAAGAGCAGGCATCTTTACGGCACAATATAAAGATGCTTTTTGAGACAATTCAGTACATTAGTATTCCTCTCCTCCCTGGAAAATGTTCCCAAAAGCAAAGCCACATGCTAGCGTCTCTAGAAAGGTTCAGCTATTGATGAACTCATGGTATCTGAGCTAAGGGCAAATGGCTTTCAGCAAGAAAAAGCACCCAGAGGCTGCGGTAGAATCATAGAATGACAGGGGTTGGAAGGAACCTCTGGACATCATTTAGTCCAACCCCCTAGCTAAACCAGGGTCACCTACAGCAAGTTGCACAGGATCATGTCCAGGCCAGTTTTGAATATCTCCAGAGATGGAGACTCCACAGCCTGTCTGGGCAGCCTGTTCCAGTGCTCTGTCACCTCAAAGGAAAGAAGTTTTTCCTCATGTTGAGGTGGAACTTCCTGTGCTCCAGTTTGTGCCCGTTGCCCCTTGTCCTGTTGCTGGGCACCACTGAAAAGAGCCTGGCCCCATCCTCTTGACACCTGCCCTTTAGATATTTATAAGCATTGATAAGGTCTCCTCTCAGCCTTCTCTTCTCCAGGCTAAAGAGCCTCAGATCTCTCACCCTTTCCTCATAGAAGAGATGCTCCAGTCCCCTCATCATCTTCATAGCCCTCTGCTGGACTCTCTCCAGTAGTTCCCTGTCCCTCTTACACTGGGGTGTCCAGAACCGGACACAGTACTCCAGATGTGGC